GGCTCCACTCCACCACTTTCGCCTTGCCTCTTGGCTGAGCTGCTTGGCCACTGTGCGGACCCCACTGACTGTGGGTGTGGCCTCGAGACCATAGGCTGGGGCTGCAGTGGATGAGACTGCCCGCTTAGCCAAGCGGTCTGCTTCCTCATTGCCCTCTATCCCCATATGCCCAGGAGCCCATTTCAGGCCGACATTGTGCTGTCTGAGGAGCTCATGGCAGCGGTTGTAGGCCCAGTTTGAGGAGGCTGCTGCACTGCCCCGTATGCCCCAGATGACTGAGGTGTTGTCGAGGCAGAGCCAGATCTGAGGGTTGCTGCTGTCCTCTGTGACACAAGGTAGGAGCTTCACAGCGCACTCTAATGCCCGGCAGGCACCAACTGCCTCAGCGTCGAAGACATGTGACATAGGGCTCAGCGCAGCTGAGAAGCTGGCCAGCTGTTTATTTCCCTGATAGACTATGAAGCCATAGCCCACCTGCCTGCTGTTGTCAAGGCTCCGTTCTGATCCATCTGAGAAAACATATAGATCTGTTGAGGGTTGACTTCTCCACCATTTCTTGAATGCCTGAGCAGCACTCTTTTTGTCTACACCCTCTGTGGGGTCTGTCCCGCATCCCTCTGAGTAGTGTGGGATGGCAAGTGTGGGTCTATTGACTGCAGGTAGCAGCGCCCCCAACCGCTGGATCTTGGTCTTTGAGCGCTGCCGGGTTCCAGCCCCTCTTCCTCGTGTGATCATTGGAGGTGCTATCCGTGAAGCCAGTGGGTGCTTCTCATCCACCACCTGAAGCCTTGTCGCGAATCGAATTTTGGCCTCCTCCAGAGCTACCATTGCTGATGGGAGCCCAGCATCCCGGTATAGGGTAGCGATGGGCGTTGTACGGAAAACTGGGAGGACCCCTCTGGCTGCCATAGTAAGCACCTTCTCAACTGTCCCCACATGCCATCCCAGGCGGGAGCTAACCTCCCCACTCCTGCCCGTGTGCCTTGCTGGCTGCGTGCGGCCGCCGTACCAGGCCTCTGTGCCATAGAGCAGTGAGGGAACCACGCAGGTGGTGACCGCCTTCCGCAGAGCGTCTGCTGGGGGCCCGTCTCTGGTCTTTCCCAGACTCCGGATGTGCTGGGCTACGGCCCTTGCCTTCTTTGCCCGGGTGGAGACATGTGGTCTCCAGGTGAGCCTTCTGTCGAAGTGTACACCCAGCCAGCGAAGTGCTGGCTCCTGTCCAGCTGGGGCAGTAACAGGGTGAACAGTGAGGTCCTCAGACACAACTACTGCTGGTGCCTCATTGTGTCGCTTTCTTGTAAGATGGATCATCTCAAGTTTCTCTGGTGCGAAGGCCACCTTGTTTATCTCCCCCCACCTCAGAATACTCTGTATATCCTGTCTGAGAAGGGTGGCATTGTTGTCAAGTGAGTGGGTCGCCCGCCAGATGTTCAGATCATCCGCATAGCCAAAGCGCAACTCCGAGTTTTGCCACTGCAGCTCTGCCAGGTACAGAAGGAACAGTATTGGTGACAAAGGAGACCCCTGTGGCGTGCCACATTGCATCTGATGTGCTGCTGTGGTGGTCCCCTCCAGCCGGACCTGAGCTCTGCGTTCAGTGAGGAAACTGTCAATGAGCTGCTGCAGCTCGCGTGGCCACCCCTGTTGCGCCATCCGCTGAAGCAGCCGCCTGCGCAGCACAGCATCAAAGGCACCCTGCACATCCATTGTGACCATGGACACTTCTTTGTTTTGTGCGAAGGCTGCCTCCACCTCATGAGTGAAAGCAGCTACCAGGTCCATTGCAGATCGTCTGGGCAGCGCCCCCCCATGCTGTGGGCTGACTATGCCGTGAATGAGTGCCGTGTAGGCCAGTCGCCTTGCAATGATGCGTTCCAGCCCTTTGGAGATTACTGAAAGCAGAGCAATGGGCCTCCAGGAGCGGACTGAGCTTCTATCTCTCTTACCCACCTTGGGTATCATTGCCACCTCTGCCAGTTTCCAGGCTCGTGGGAAGTGGCAGAGCCGGAGGCAGCAGTTGTATAGCTGCTGTATAAAGAGGGACACATGCTGCCAGCATGCTTTGAGCATCCGCACTGTGATTCCATCCGTGCCTGGGGAGGTGCTCTGTACCCCAATGGTGTTGCGCTCCACCTCCTCCATCCCAACCCGGGGGTTCCAGGGCAGGTTCCCCATGCCGCTCCAGTGCTCATCATCTCCTTATTGTAGGGTTGTACTCCAGATCATCAGCTGAGTTGTATCAAAATGGAATTAAGGTCTTGTTGAAGTGCCTCAGCTTTGGCGGCTGTCTCTTCTATGACCTGGT